GGGGGGACGTTCAGCTTCACTGTTCTGTCCCCCCGCTGCTCGCTCTGACATGTCTCCCCCTGCAGACGGTGCGGGAGCTGCTGGAGAACCCCACCCAGGCTGTCAACGACATGTCCTACTTCAACTGCCTGGACAGCGTCATGGAGAACTCCAAGGTGAGGTTGGGGACATGGAGGCACATGGTGCGAGGGTGGAGCTGGATCGGGGTGTGGGGGGCGGACAGGTGATTCGGGGGGAGCTGGGGCTGGGAAGGGGACGGTGGGTATTTGGGAAGGCCCTTTGTGTTGGTCGCTCCCAGCAGGTTTCCTGCTCCCTTCTGCTTGCCAGGTGCAGTGACTTGCTCTCACCCTATGTCCAGGCATCTGCCATTTTGCCCGTGCTGGCTCTGCCTGTCCCTGGCAGCCCAGGGAATGCTCCAGGGGCTCAGGTTCTTGTGCAGAGACCAACCCCTCCAGGATTCTGGCCCTTCGTGGCCTGGGCCAGCCGCAATGCAGGGCCGGCTTTTCTCCTGTTCTCCTCGTGCCAGTCTCTGTCGGTGTCTGGGGTCTCCCCTGCCCTGTGTTCCTGGGTGCCCGGACCCCTTCCACCCATTGAACACAGGGTCTGGGCTGCTGGTCCCATGGCCTGGCTGAGCTCCGGGGCAGGGACGCATTTTCCTCTAGGTGGACTGCACGTCTCTATCCAGGGCATCTTGTCCCTGCTGTTCCCCGAAGTGCCCGCAGTGTGCCTGGTACCCTGCAGTGCAGGGAGGGATAAGACCTCTGCAGAGAAGTTTGTGCTGAAGGCCTCTCTCTCCTCCTGGGCCCGTCACAGCCCCGCATCAGCAGGCTGGTTCCCGTCAGGGCACAAGGGGAGACGGTCTGGAGAGGTTTGTGGGAGGAGCAGCCAGGCTGCTGGCTCACAGGCACAAGAGCGGGTGAGTGGGGCTAGCCTAGCCGTGAAGGGCCTGGAAGGGGAGGAGAGGAAGCCTGAACTTGATGCCCTTGAGATGGGGAGCAGAGGGGGGCGGTAGCCAGAACAGGACCCAGGGCCATGGTATGAGCAATGTGAGTGGAGAGAGGCTGCAGGAACCAAGGTGGGTGGTGCTGAGAGGCTGGACAATGTGGATGCGGCTATATCGTTGACACAGCAGGGGGCAGCGTGTCTGTCTCTCCGTCCACCCCGCCAAGCCATCTGAGGCTCACTCGCGGGGGCACTGAGGGGTTTCTGTCTCTGGACACCTCTCTCTCCTGCAGGTCCTGGGCGAAGCCATGGCTGGAATTTCCCAGCATGCCAAGAACAGCAAACTGCCCGAGTTCGGGGAGTCGGTCAGCACAGCCTCCAAGGCGCTCTGCGGGTTCACAGAGGCCGCTGCTCAGGTGAGAGAGAGCCCAGCCTTCGGCCTCAGCCCCTCACAACAGCCCTGGGGCCGGCTGCCAAAGACCCTGTCCCTGCACTGCCGCTGCGTGCCCCGGAGCCCTTCCCTACTCTGCTACCGGCGTCCCCAAACCTGTCCCCTCTGCCCGACCCCCCCCCCCCCCCCTCCCCCCCCCCCCCCCCCCCAGAGCCCGTCCCCCTGCTGCCTTGCCCCCCCACTCCTCCCCTCTGTGCCATCCCCCAGAGCTCCTCCCCTTGCTGCCTCACCCCTCCCCTCTGGACCATTGCCCAGAGCCCCTCCCCTGCTGCATTACCCCCACCGGGCGGTCCCCAAGAGCCCCTCCCTGCGCTGCCTCAGCCCCGACTCCTAGGCCTGCCTGGCCCTGGTGCTGTTCCCAACTTCTCCCCTCTCTCTGGTGCTCCCAGGCTGCCTATCTGGTGGCTGTTTCGGACCCTAACAGCCAGGCCGGACAGCAGGGCCTAGTGGACCCCACCCAGTTTGCCAGAGCCAACCAAGCGATCCAGATGGCCTGCCAGAACCTGGTGGACCCGGCCTGCACGCAGTCCCAGGTGGGTGAGGGTGCTGGGAAGGAGCAGGCTGTCTGGGTACCAGGCTCCCTCCTGCGCTCACAGGCAGGGAAGGTGGGAGCAGCTGGAAGG